GACATTATATCACACCAGTTTTTCAAAAATTATCTTTAAAAGATCTTGATCTGCCTTTGAATAGCTGTTCCTAGAAAGATTGTGTTTGTGGCTAGAGCATCCTCTTCCAACTTCACTTGTTTCAAGCACAGCCTGTAATGCTGTCGATTCCCTCTCCTCCACTATGAGCTGGAACAGATGCTTTCATGAGCCTCTTCTTAACTCATGTGATTGTGAGCATAAAAGTCCAAATGAATCTGCAGGAAACTATTCAAACTAATAAGGGAATTTAATAATTAAGTCCATTATATAACCAGCGAACAGTTGGAAAATAGAATTTTAAAAATAATTTCAGTGATTATACCATAAAAATATGTTATAATAAAGCCAACACAAAGATCTCCTAACTATTTCAGGGCCCTGTATTTCATTTCACTGATTAACTTGTCTATCTCTGCACAAAAAATACACTGTCCTAATACTATAGCTTTGAATGAGTCTAAATATCTGGTCGGTCAGGTCCCCCAGCTTTGTTATTTTTCCTCAAGATTTTTTAGACATTTCTAGCCCTTTTCATTTACTTATACATCTTAGAACCAGCTTACCAAGGTTCACATAAAATCTTGCTGGATTTTTATTGGACATAAATTGAATCTAAAGAGCAATATGGAGGTTAATGTATTGCGTGTTTGAGTCTTCCTGTCCATAGCTATGGTCTATTCCTCCATTTGTTTAGCCCTTTTATAATAATTCTGAATAAAAACCCTGCCCGGTTTGGCTCAGTGATTAGAGCATCAGCTCGTAGACCAGAGAGGCCCAGGTTTGGTTCCCACTAAGGGCATGTACCTTGGTTGCAATTTGTCCCTGGACCCAGTTGGGGTCGTGTGGGTGGCAACTACTCTATGTGTCTCTCTCTCTCTCTCTCTCTCGTCGATGTTTCTTCCTCTCTTCCTCCTGCTCTGTCTCAAGATAAATGTAAAAAAAATGTCCTCAGGTGAGGATTAAAAATAAATAAATAAATAAATAGTAATAATTCTGAATAAAAGTTTTATTTTCTTCATAGAGTTCTTACACATATTTTTGTTGGATTTGTTCTTATATACTTCATATTTTTAAGATATCATAAATGGAATAGTTTTTTAATTTTATTTCCCAATTGTTTGCAAGTGTATAAATAAAATTGACTTTTATTCTAATGTTTGCCTGTAGATTCTTTTGGATTTTTCACACACATGATCTTATCACTTATGAAAAATGACAGTTTCCTTTCTTCTTAATTCATATGCTTTCTATTTCTTTTTCTCATCACATTGCTTTTCATGATTGGAACTGATGATAGCAAGCTTCCCTTCTGTTATTTCTGATGTCAGACATAAAGCTTTCAACATTCACCACCAAGGGTGACATTTACTCCAGGTTTCTTGTAGATACCTTTAATCAGGTTAATCGACATCCTTTCTTTTCCTAGTATATTATAGTTTTTATTATGAATGTGTGTTGAATTTTACCTTATACCATTTTCTAAACCTACTGAGATGATGATAAGATATTCTTATTTTCTTCTGCTACAATGGCAAATTATATGAATTGGTGTTTTAATGCTAAACCAGATTTGTATTCTTAAAATAAGCCCAACCTGGTTCTGATATATTATCTTTTTAATAGATTGGTAAATTCTATTTGCTCATGATTTCTTTCGGATTTTCTCATCTATGTTCACAAATGAGATTAGCCTATAATTTTACTTTCTCAAAGTGTTCTTGATGGTTTTAGATATCAGTGTTGTACTAGACTCATAAAATGATTAAAGGACTGGTTCCTCTGACATGTCAAACTTTAACATGTCCACAACTGAACTACTGTTCTTATACCCTAAACATGCTGTACTCTAGTAAGGTAATTCTATTCTTCCTGTTTCTAAAACCAAAAATCTTGGCATTGGTTTTTTTCTCTATTATTCCATAGCTAATTCATCAGAAAACCCTGTTTGTGCTACATTCAAAATGTGTCCATAATCTGACCACTTTGTACCACCCCCAGTGTTCCAAATCATAGTCATCTCACCCGTGGATTATTGCAATGGGCCCCCTGGCCTCCTAGAGCAGGGGACACATAACTTTTTCTATAAAGGGCCTGATAGCAAATATTTGACTTCACAGCACATCATCCCTGCTGCACTCTATACTTCTGTTGTCGTGCAGAAGCTGTCACAGACAATAACTAATAAATGGGCATGGCCCAGTTTTGCTATTTACCAACCCCTGCCTTTTAGGGTAGGCTATTCTCAATACTGATGACAGTAATCCTTTTAAAAAGTAAGATCATGTCACTCAATATTGAAAACCTTCCAACAGCTTCTCATCTCATTCATCATTAAAGACAGAATCCTTACAATGTCCTACAAGGAAGGCCCTGATCTAGTCTAGCCCTGTCTCCTCCCTTTTACTTTAACTCATCCTTTCATCCCTCCACCTCTCTCTCTCTCTCTCTCTCTCTCTCCCCCCCACCCCCCTTCCTCCTTCCCTCCCTCTGTCTCATTCAGTTACAGCTACACAAGGTCTTCTCTTCTCTGTTCCTAGAACATTCCAGGCTTCCCTCCACTTCAGGGCATTGGCATCGCTTGTTACTCCTGCTGGAATCACTCTCCCTCCAGCTATCTACCTGGATAACTCAATTCTTTTAAGTCTCTGATCAAATGTCACTTCTTAATGAGACCTTCATTGGACATCCTATTTAAATGTCAACCTTTCACATCCTCCCTTGACACATTTTTCATGGCACTAATTACCTTCTGATATACTATACAACTAATTTTTTTAATATGTTGATTGTTTGTGTCTGCATTTTCCCTACTAGAAGTAGCTCGGTGAGGTCAGGGTTTCATCCTATTTTGTTTGCTTCTATATCCCCAATGACTAGAACATCATGTGTCCTAGAATAAGCACTCAATAAATATTTATTGGATAATGAATAGATCAAAGAAGTGCCATAGACTAGAATTTCTTGGAACAGTAGTTCTACAAAGCAGAATAAGATGGATAGTTGGAATCCAGGTGACAGAATTCTGCTCATTATTGAATTCTTCAGTGGAATTAAGTGTCTCGACAAGTCATGAGTAATATTTCACAGGAAGTATTCAAGCAAAGCCTAGAAATTAATGATTAAAGAGGTACAAGTTATTCTTGCCACAGCTTGGAGAACAGATGATATGTCCCTTAAAGTGCCCCAAGCACAGTCCACCCCAAGGTTCTGTGATACTTCCCCAGTTGTTTAGTAGTAGTGGTGATAACTTCATTTATTCAGTTTGTGGCAAAAACTTGTGTTTTGTTGAAACAGGTAGTTTTCAATAGCATATGCCAACATCTATTAAGCTACTATTATTTTCCAGTCTTAAGATTTTCTTCTTGGAGAAAAATTGAAAACACTACTAGGAATTATTGGCAGAAGAGCCAGAATATTTGTGCATCTTGAAATATTTGTATCTCCACTAAAACAAAAAGTCACTCTCAAAAACAAAGGGAGCAATAAAGTCCTAATATAAATTGGTAGGTGAAATACAGCTAATGTGACCACTTTTTTAACATTAAACCTTTTAATTTTTACTAATATTGTTTATATTTTTAATTTTGCCTCTATTTTTTTCTTTGAGAGAAAAAAATATTGTCGTCTTTCCTTCTTTCTTTCCTTGTTTCTTTCCTTGTTTCTTTCCTTCTTTCTCTCCTTCTTTCTCTCTTTCTCTCTTTTTTTTTAAGCCAAATGTTACCAGTTAAGGATTAGGTCAATGTGCGTATGTAGTTACATGACCATATGAGTGAATATTCTAAAACATAATGATTACTCTTCTAATTCCAGGGTTTCAATGGAGAAATAAGGAAAAATGGGCCTTGAAAATATTTATTAAATTACACCCCTTAGATTCTCAGCTGACACGGATAGGCTGCATGCCACTCTTGGAAGAGGAGTCTTGGGGTAAAGAGGGGTACAGGAAATGATTGCTTTTGCATTTTTGGAATCACTCACACTCTAGAACATTTTGACATGCTATTAGTAATACAACTGTAGTTCTCTGAAGTTAAATTGTGTCACTTTCAAAAATGATAAATCTTTACCCTTTAACTAAAATTCTGAAATTTTACAGAAAAAAATACAGTATACTATAAATATAAAGGATTTTACTTTTCTTCTTAGGCTATTTTTATTTGTTTCTTTTGCATCCTTTTAATGGAATTTGTAGGTCTCTTGAAAGGTAAGGTTGAAGTTTACAAGTTTGGCCTGCACTCAATAACAAAAGTATTTGAAATGCAGGATTTCGCTGCTTCTTTGTGCTCAGAAAAAAAAAAATCCATATTTCACACTTAACCAAAATTATTCTCCATGCTAAATTCTCTACTTGCCATAATCTTTACCCTCTTTTGAATTCAAAATAGTGATGATTTTCATCTTTTTTCAGTTCTTCCTTTTTTAATGCTTATTATTATTTCTGAATTGTTTCCAAGTCAGGAGCCCAAATCTGATATTGATATTGACAGGCACAATAAGAAGTCATCCACCTACTAAAGATTTCATGATTAAACCTTTCTACACCTGATTTTCATTCCAGCCACATCCCAGTCATCGGAGTCAACCTGATGATTAGATTTGGCTAGAGAAGCTCAGGGCTCCATGTGCATTATCTTAATTGGCATGCATGATCTTTAAGAACAAAACATTTGCCCTGGCCGGTTTGGCTCAGCGGTTAGAGCGTCGGCCTGCGGTCCAGAGAGACCCGGGTTCGGTTCCCGCTAAGGGCACGTACCTCGGTTGCAGTTTGTCCCCGGCCCTGGTTGGTCGTGCGGGTGGCAGCCACTCGATGTGTCCCTTCACGTCGATGTTTCTCTCTCTCTCTTCCTCTCTCTCCCTCCCACTCTACCTGAACAAAAAATGGAAAAATGTCCTCGGGTGAGGATTAAAAAAAAAAGAAAAAAGAACAAAACATTTTACTGAAATGCCAGTCTTGATGAAAATTTCTCTTTTTTTTTTAGTGATGCAGAAGACCACAAGCCTTTGAAAAAAGGCAGCCGAACACCTTCAGACAGGACTGTGAAGAAAGAAGATAGTGATGATAGCCTTGTTGACTATGGAGAGGGAGTGAATGGCCAGTTCAATGAGGATGGTTCCTTTATTGGACAATATAGTGGTAAGAAAGAAAAAGAACCAGCTGAAGGAAATGAAAGCTCAGAGGCACCTTCTCCTGTCAATGCCATGAATTCCTTTGTTTAATTTGTAAGTTCTTTGCCAATACCCCATTTCTCTAGAATGTTTATCTTAAGCATTTGTCTGTCAGCCTTCTCATACTGTGAACATAGAGGCAGAAAATATATATTCTACTGTATGTTAATATTATGAGAACAGTTAGAGCAAGAACATTACTCAGTCAAATGATGTGTTAACATGAACTGCAGTGTAAAGTGCATACTTTTTCATTCAAAATAAGTATTCTTGATTTTCTCAGAACTGATCAAAGTAACACACGTCATGAACAGATCATGCTATTTCTTCTTCAGGATACAGTTCAATATGATGCATGAAAAATGCTGCACAGTTAAAGGACATACCTGTGTGTGTTATTAAAACATGGTTTAATACTTTGTTTATACTGTCCTCAGCTGAACTCCTAAATATGAATTCCATTTTAATTGTCAAGAGTGTTACTGTAGTATTCTCTAGAACTTCAATGTCTTTGTGGACATTGTTGTGAAATGGTGACTCTGTGTAGCTGTTAGTCTTTTGGGAAGACTGTTAGGAACTGTATGTACAGTATATACTTGCTAAATGATTTAATCATGACAGTTGCACTTGCTGATGCTTACTGAGACTCTGTTACCTGCTTTTTGCTCCTGTTACCTTGTAGCCTTCCTAATCTTCCAGGTATTACAGCGGTACAGTGTTCTACTTTTTACATCATCTCTATGTTCAGTTGATTATAGGCATAAACAATGTGTGTTGCAATGCATTTTGGCATGTGTGCCATACTGAAAGAATAAAAGCAATTCACTCCAATTAAATTTCAAAACATATTCCAGAAAGCACAGGGCAAGACACATGTAGTGCCTTTGGACAAGAAGCATTCCATATATACTGCCTTCCGTATCGATGATACAGTTGACCTAGAGTCCTAGATTACTGTCATTGTCAAAAAGTAACTTTTAAAAAGCAGAGATAATGAAAACTGCAATGCTGAAAAAAAGGAAATGTGAAAGTAAAAGTAATAAGACAGCTTATTTTAAAGAGCATTTCCCCATATGTATAAAAAGAAAAACTTTATCAACAACTGGAGCACATGATGATTCTTTTTGGTCTTTTATAGTTTCTTCTAGAGTCCCATTCAGTAAGAAAGATGTCAAATTAGCACAAAAATTTTTTAAAAACATGTTATTCCAAAACTAAAAGCATACAACATCATGCTGACAGGACTGTATTATTCTCTAAGTCTTTACCTATGTGGCAGCCTTTGAAACTCTCTGCAGCAGGAAAAGATCTGCATGCAAATTGCTATGGACACATTTCAGAATCTAAAAAAATTGAGTAAGTGCTAACAAGGCCAAGAGGCAAAAGGATTACATCTGCAGTTTAAAAAAAAAAAACATATATTTTACCATACTCATAAACAATATCTATCAAATGGTTTACCTCCAAGTTTAAAATTCTCTAACAACCTATGATTGAAGGAATGCTCAGTTTCATTTGCCAATAAATTGATTTCTCATAACTTGCATCAAGTTTAATTTTAAGTAAAGCTTTTTATATGTAGATATTTTGTTGAATTTGTAAATACACTTAAAATGTAGATGCTATATGCTTATAGGTGTCACATACAAATAAATATGCAAACAGTGTTTATGTTGTACTGTATAAGAAATTAGCTAATGGGATTGGAAACCATTTAAATACCTTTGGGTTTTTATTTTCCCTTTTTTCTGTGAAACTGAAATAATGAATTAGTCTACATATTGCCAGAAAGTTTCTAAATGAACTCTTCAGAGCTTTGTCTGTGAGGCTCAGTAACCCTAATCATGTGGAATCTTTGATACAGATAGGTGAAGCCCAGATTGAAGTGATCCCAGGTAAAAATGTCCCTAAATACTTTCATCTCTCCATATTTGCTTTTCACAGACCAGCCTTTTTAACGGAAATACAAAAAGATGAAACAGGCTTGCCTTGGTATCAGAGAGCACAAAGATAAGTTACTTTAAATTTGCCAGTGTTTGGGGAAAACTATGAAAGTACAGGTTTTACTCTTCCATAATGGTAGATACTAAATTTATCTGTGCATGAAGGGGTCACTTCTGTAATAGTGCAACAGATTTTATAATAAAATTAAATGTGGTTTTAAAAGTCTCTCTCTTTTGTAATGTATCATGTTCCTAGTGGAGTGTGAATGTCCAATGGTACAGGCGGATAGAACTGGATTTCCATCAAAAAGTAACTACTAAACTGTCGTGACCGCTTAGTGATTTTTAACTTTTTCAAACATATTTCCTAATGTTTTAAAATACAGCACATTTTTTATTTTTGCTTTTAGAGGCATTCTATATGCAGAGAAAATTAAACACAGAACTAAACACATTATAAAACAAAGTCAATAAAATTGGGCATATCAAAAAATTTTAATGAAAATCAGGAGTCGATATTATCAGCCTTTTGAGAAACAGTCTGAGAAATCAAGTACTGCTTCCTTTCCTGGAGCCTGCGCCCCACAGACTTGGCACCCTGGTGCACCATCAGCCTGTCTTCCACTTGCCTAGGTCTCCACTCTCACAGCAACAGACAACTGGAATTCCTTAACCTCTCCTTCTTGATGAGACAATTTGGGCATTTACAAATATTATGGGTATGTCGTCTGCTTGCTTTTCCCCAGCCCTATTCTTTTCATTTCTCAAACCTGTGTAGCTCTGTAAACTGCCAATGTCTGGTTACTTCCACCACTTACCCTTATTCACCTGTCCCCTGCCTCCAGCTCCCACAAGACTTGCTGCTGGCACAGAGCTCCAGCTCTCTAACAGTTATCTTTGGATAACATGTTACAGTAGCCCCTCCGCCCCCAATCCCCTCCTTACCCAAGAAGGATATGCTCCAGGAAACCCAGTGAATGCCTAAAACCTTTGATATTACCAAACTCTATGTATAGTATGTATTTTTGTATACACACATATCTGTGATGAAGTTTAACTTATAAATGAGGTACAGTAAGAAATTAACAATAATAACTAATGATAAAATAGAACAATTATAGCATTATACTGTGATAAAAGTTATGTATGTGGCTTTGGGACCATTATTAAGTAAAATAAGGATTACTTGAACACAAACACTGTGATACCAGACCATTGATCTGATAACCAAGACGTCTCCTAAGTGACTAATAGGCAGGGAGCATCTACAGCTTGGAGATGCTGGACAAAGGGATGAGTCACATCTCATGCTAGATGGAGCAGGACAGCTCCAGGTGACTTGCAATTTAAAACTTACAAATTGTTTATTTCTGGAATTTTTGCACCACCATTGACCATGGGTAACTGAAACCACAAAAAGCGAAATTGCAGATAAGTCAATAGTAAAATGTTATATAGACCTTAGTATTTTTAGCACAGAGAGCATTCACTTCTGAACAGAAAGTCAGGACCTTCACTTCACACTGGGCCAGATTCACAGTCCACATCATCAGTCGCAGCAAGAGAGGCTCCTAGGAAATTGTAAGCCAAACCACAACAGGAAATGGTCCATTGACGCCTTCTTGTTCAGATGGTTTATAATGGCTCTGGTTTACTGTTAATGGCTGATTTTGGAAATGGCTTGTGGAGGCAAGAGACATACAAAGACCTGAATTCTCCTCACCCAAACTCAGCAAATCTCTCCCTCTCAAGAGATTTTTCTACAAATTACCACCAGAGGGCTCCCGTGCTTTATTCAGTGCAACAAAAAAAAAACCACTGAGAAAAAAGCCTCTGGAGAAACAGTGCAAACCACTTTTGATAATCAGACTATGGTCTGACAGTGCAGAAAATGATTGCCTACTGCTACCGGGGGAGATGGCATTTGCAGCTTTCTCTGATGGGTTCACAGCTTCCAGGGAGTAAGTGTGTGTCACCGTGAACCTTGTTTATCTTCCTCTTACTGATGTGGCCAGGTGGCTGGGCGGATCAGCAGAAGGAAAAGGAGTATGCCTGCCTACTGGCTCCCACTATGCACCCTTCACTGCTGCAAGTGGTGGGGGTGAGAGTGGGGGCATGTCCTTAATATGGCCCCTCCTTTCTCCAGAGCAGGCCACTTTGAATGCCACCAGTGCTTTGAGTTTTTTGTGCTTGGACAGCACAAAAAGCACAGTTTACACAGAGACAGCTTTTATTTTTACATTTTTTTTAAAGCAGGACAGGGTGAGAATATTACCAGAGCATTTATATTGTGAAAACAAACAAATAGTTCCCAGATTGAAATAGAAAGAGACCAAGATTTACATTCCAGCTCTGCCATCGACTAGCTGTGTAATCACGTGTAAATGAACCCTCGTATCCCCCACCTCTTTAGGCCTCTGTTTCTCAGAGAATTACAGAAAACAGATAGTTTCTAATATCGCTTTCTGCTTAAATCCCATGGTTCTAAATAATCTCCCCCCCCCCCCTTTTTTTTTGAACACCTACAACAGGTATTTGCTAAGTGGAGAGGATATAAGATGAGATAAACCAGATGTGGTTTCTGCTCCCATGGTGCCTGTTATAAGAAGACAGACATTAATTAAATAACCACCTAAATGCATGTGTAATTCCAAATTGAGATAAGTGCAATGAAGGGCAGCCACCCCGTTCTGTGAGAGCAAATAATGGAGGAGGCTGACCCGTGCAGAGTGGTCAGGAAGGCTCCCTGTGGAACTATGAGCTGAGAGAGCTGGGGGACAAGTGGGAGGAGAAAAGGCAGGGTTAAGGCCAGTGTGCTAGGAGCAGCTCTGGGGCCAGGCCGTGCTGGAACCTGAGGACCACAGGACAGATTTTTCTGTGTATTCAAGGAGTAGTGGAAAGAGGGGAGTGATTAAAGCAGTTGAAGGGAAGAGTTATTTTATCAGATCTGTGTTTGGGGAGGAGGCAGGATCCATGGAATTCTATGTGGAGAATGGCTTGGAGGGGAACCAGAAAGATTGATAAGAAGGCACCGAGAAGCTTCACAGTAATTTAGTCAAGAGATGGTAGAGTAGGATCTGGATTGTAACAGTGAAGGAAAGAAGTGGTAGCTTTTAAACATATGCAGGAAGCAAACTGGTGGGAGTAAGAGATAGGATATCGGAGGTTGAGGGTAAGGGAGGTTCTTAGATTTCTGACTTATGTAACCAGATATGAGGTTCACTTAGGTGGGAACCTCAGGAAAGAACCAGAATTGGGGTAAGTTATGAGTTCAAGTTACTAAATGAGGAGTTTGGAAAGCATCTGAGACAGCCAAGTAGAAATGACTAGTAGGAATTGGATGTATGGACTTAATGCTCAAAAGGAACTTCTAAGATGGTGAGTAGTAATGGAGGCCATGAAGCACCGATGCAGTTGCCTAGAGAAAAAAATATAGACAGAGGACTGAGGAATATACCTTATTAAGAAAATCAGACTAATACAACAGGATCCAGACTAGTTGGGAAGAAATAGAGTGTGTTGTCTTGGAAACAAGTGAAAGAGACTGTTTCAAGAGCAGAGAATGGTTTACAGTGTCATGTAATGTTGGAAAATCAAGCAAAATAAGGATTGGAATATGCTTTTTGGATTTGAGGGCAAGGAGGTCATCTGAGACCTCAATAAAATCTGTTGGATAGAGTGTGGTCACAGATTGGAGTGAGCTGAGGAGTAAGTAAAAGATGAGGAAAGAGAAACAATGAGATTTGCCATTACCACATGGACAACCCGTCTGTCCCTGGCTCAGTTCCTAGACATCCTCTATCTCCATAATATAACCTTAGCACCCCACTCTGCCCACAGCCTCTCCTCCAGTCTACTGTCACCTCCATTTGCTCTCAAACCTTTAGCTGATTAGGTTTTTTTTTATTCATTTTCTAGCATTGGATTTTATAGTTAAATTTTTTTTATTTATTTTATTTTTCAATTACAGTTTACAGTCATTTAGTTCATTATTTTTGAAACACTCTTGCTTTACCCAAAAGGCCTTTGCCCTTCTGTCTTTTCTAAATACCTAAGGAGGTGTAATGTTACTCAGGATGAAGTCTACTGTCTGCTTTCTTCTGCCTGTCCCTAGGAGCTGAAAGAGAACAGAGATCAGCATCATTATAAAGTCATAAATATCTTTAAATGGTTCAACTCTTCACACTGCACAGTAGACGGACTTATTTTTCACAGATGAACTTACATTCTCACACTCACCAATGACTATTTCAGATCTTTTCCACTCTCCTCAAACATGCAACTTTGCCCACTCTCCCTACACAGCCTCATAAATCGCTCTCTATAAAATACTTTACATCACAATTAGCTAAAAGAAGAAAAAAAAAGCAGAGATGGTAATTCCTTCATCTCTGCCAGTAGACTGAAAATGCCTGCCTCAATATGCCACCATCTTCTACTGTAACTGGAACCAAGGTTCTGCTGCCTGCTGCAACGAAAGCCGAACTTGTGAGGCAGGTGCTGGTGATAAAAGAAAGAAGTTTATTCAATTGCCGGTAACCTGAGAAGATCTCAGCGCAGGCAGAATTTTTATAAGGAAAGAGATGGAAAGCAGAACAACAAGATCAAGGGGGGGGGGGGGTGGTTGAAAAGTTCTCTACATGCAGATCAGCACAGTCCATTCCTATAAGGTTCTCAAAACTGGTCACATGGTGGTCTGGTGTGCATCATCCTGGCCTCCATCATCTTGGTTCTATGTCATCCTCATTATACAGTTGAAGGTCAACAAATTTCCCAGGACTGGCACGACTGAAGGTCAGCGTCTGCATCTTCCCAAGTTAGTTCTTAGCTTTCTTATACAAACCTGATGTTTATCTACAAGCTACATATTATTAGTCAGAGTCAGCATTTACATAAACAATGTCAAAAGCATGGTGGGGTGGGTTACACCACCTCCTGTGAAAGTAGAGGAGCCATCCTTCCTCCTATTATGCACCAGCCCTTCTTGGGTCTGGAAAACTCTCTCCCCCTTGGTGGATTCTTATCCATCAGTCATCCCTTCTGCTCAACTGGATTTTCTATTGACATTTAAACATACTTAAAGTCTCTCCCATCTAAAACAAAAAGACCTTTGAAACCTTTGGTTCCCCATCAATACACTCCGTTCAGTTATCATTTTCTCTCCTCTACTTCATGGTAAAAAATGTTGGAAAAGTTGAAATAATACCAGGAAAAGTAAATGAGGATAATCATAGAAGCTTCTATTTGCCAGACAGTGCATTCTTTGTTCCTTCTATAGCTATAAAATTTCTCCAGTTTCACTCAGTTTGTCCTATAGACACTGTCTTTCTTCAGCTG